AGGACACAGCAGTACAAAAAAAGATTGAGATTTTTGATGATTAAAAAGGGAGATATGCTAAAATTCAGCAACTGATGAGCGTCAGATGTGACTAAGTAGCACTAAGAGTTTAGAAAATTGTAAGGAGAAAAAAATTGACAGAAGCATTTCTAAGCTGTTTTTGTTTTCCCCTGTTTTCCCAAATGTGTATATTTTGGCATTTCTAACCAGTGTTTTTCCAGAAGTGAGTAAACTATTCTATTTGATAAATTCCACAACGGTGTGCAGAAGCCATCCTCTGAATTCCAGCAGGGGACACTGATGTGTTTGAGCTACTTCTGAAAAAAGCTCACTGAGAACTGAGCCCTTATGCCTCTGGCACAGGGACAGCTTTGGAGTCTGCACTTGGTCACAGGCTTGCTTTCCATGATTTAAAATCATAGCTGTTATTTACCAAAGTGAACAAGTATAACTCTCTTCATTCGTGTTCATTTGTATTTTCTGAGAAAACACCATTTGTCATCATTTTTGGTCACATTAACAATGTACTCCGAACAATTAAATGAACTCTCAATTTCTCTAACTTTGTTGACAAAAATCATAAGCACGTGGAACTTGAAGGAGAGCCCACTGAGGAGCCTAGTTCCAGGCCTATGCAGAGCAAACAGAGCAGGCTGAGAGGACAGAGCGAGCAGGCCGCCAGGAGGCACGGGCACATTCACCACATTCAAAATAAGGGTCTGAAGCATTCCCATCTTCTGCGTGGCAGTGAAGGGGAAAAGAATCATGATTTGGTCTGTTTAAAGTCAGTCTAGCTATTCCGTCACTGACAGTGTGCACTTTTAATTATTGTTCCTCAACAAGCTTGTTACATAACCCACTGATATGCTATCAAGTGGAAAGGTTACAAGAGCACTGACTGCGGGTTAATTCAGTCACCACATAAGCTTATATGTTCACCCTCTGTACAAGCTAACTACAAAACAGAACTTACAAACAAATAAATGGGCCAAATAATATAACAAAAATGCAAAGAGCAACTTTGAGAGAGTGCAGGCATGTGCCCAATTCTGGTAGTCCTACCTCAGTACAGTGATATGCCAGAATCCATGACAGAGCTTCAGATACAGAATACGAAGGGAAAGGAAGCTTAACACAAGCCTCTACTTTTCTACTGACATCAAGAACTATTTTAAGGATGTACATCTGTGTAAGGTATGAAGCTTTGTAGTTTTGATCAGTATGCCATATCTCTCCTTCTCCCCCAAATGTTGTCATATCAACAAACCTGCTACCACCGATAAACGTTTACTGGACAGACAAAATATGATTTATAATAAACACTACTTTAGCAAATCAAAACCAATATTCACTAGGAAACAGGCATTTTGGGTACAATGCCTTAGCATAACAGCTATTAGAATGCATTTGAGGTAACTGGCATCATTTATTAATGTGTGGAAGCCCGGATTTGCAATGTTAGAGGTATTTCTGGAATTAGCGTACTTCACAAAGATGAGACAGTAAAAAAGCAGTTTATCACATTAGGAAGCACACTGTTCTAACATTGGGCAATATTATCAAAATGGCACATAAATTATGTGTTTGTGGTAAGTTATAGTAGAGAAATGTTAATGGAATGTGTTTAGTGTAATTTTCGATCTCACACCTCCCTTCTAATTTTACCATTCTTTAGGGATAATCCTTTTATTAATGAATGATAAAATCACACACAAACTTCCATCTAAAATTCATCTGGCAAGATCTCTTTTCACCATATTAAGTTAGCTACATCTTTTTCAGGAAAATAACTATGGAGCATCTAAATGAACTTTTAAGAATATGAATTGATAAGATGAGAATTTGACTTTTTATACAACAAAAAGGACCCACTCGTATTATGTAATGTACCATTCCTTAGCTCCGTAAGAGGGAGATGGAGAAAGAATATCAAGGGATCACATGTATGGGAGTAAGGTTAAAAACTCATTGTATTGCATTTTCCAAGCTATAGTTTTAGCTGGTGCATGCATTTTAAATCACATGGAAGGCTGCTCAGGTGTGGAATGCTAGAAATAGTCCAGATCATGCTGAAAAATGAAAGCGTTAATGGTACAAGATAATTCTATTGATCACAAGACTGCAACTTATGGTATAGGTAAGACAAACACTTAAGCAGCGTTAAGTGCTACTATAAAACAAACCAAAAAAAAAACAACCACAAAACAACCAACAAACCAAAACACACACAAAACTCATAGTAAAATGGGTTAAGTTTGCAAAGTTGCAAAATTGTCCAAAGTCAATAAATATAAATTGCGGTCAAAAGCACATAACATTTCTCAAGAAAACAACTGAAGATTTTTCAGAATGAGGAAAACAAAATATTTTAACTTGAACTCTGCTCTTAAAAATGTCTAGATGATTTCAGGCGCCCAAAGCCTTTTGCAGAGGCAAAGCACTACCAGATGCAATAACCTGGACCAAGAGTTGCCAGACTCACAAAAACATAATTCTTGAGGAGCATTTCATTTAATTAATATCCAAAATTCAATCCAAAATTTTCCTGCCTTCAGATTCTTTATTCTTCTCCCTTTTAGAAGATGACAAATCAGGAGATTATCTATTGAAAGACCTGTGAAGTATTTTCTCCACAGAAAATATTTCCTTTTTTAGGCTTTAAGGTGGAATCATGAGAATTTTTCCCTCCTGATATTGTTGATAATTATTTTTGTATACTTTTGACAAAACACAAAAAGATCAATAAAGTCTTATTTGTTCTTACAGTGGCATCTCACTATGGCATAAATAACTCTCTTGTAAGTGAAGTCAGGTGACTGAGTCAAAACACAGCAGACAGAAATACATTCTCCTGTGCATTTATCAACACTGTTTTCTGATAATCTCATCCCTTTTCCATGACAACTTCAGTCAAAACATCCATTTTATTAATAAATGTTGAGGTAAATTGAGTAATTAATGGTTCTTCCTGCTTGGTTATTGAAATGATTGATTTAGAAAATAAGCCTTGGTTGAAAGACATAAGGTATCTAGCAGTACTTGAATTTAAATGTTATTGTTCCTCCATCAGCCTTAGTATTTCTTTTGCTTAAGACTACAGAAACTACTCTTATTTTTTGTCACAGAAAAATTATCCAGTCAGGACAGAAATGAAAACTTATTACTTTCCTTCTTCATTTCATTAAATTCCCCTGCGGATTAAGAACTACCATTGTATCTTGTCTTCAGCTATTTTACCCTCAAAAAGACTGAGAAAAATCTAGCAGATTATCGATGTTGAGCTATTTGAAAGAGCTAGAAATACCATTCTATTATCATAGTAGGAATTTCCAAAGTGATGAGTTCATCACAGGATGCACAGACATTCTGCTGGAAGATAGGATAAAGGCTGTACCTGAAACTCAGAGCTGGTAGATCTTAATCTTGAATTGGTGCCAGGTCATGTTTTGCCAGACAAAGATATTAAAAATGTAGTGCCAGTACTAACTAGAGATTTGGCACACAAAACATGAAGAATGTTACAGATTGTGCTGACAGTGTGACACTATGTTTTCCTGGATGTAATCTGGGTATCATGAGAGTAAGCTTGGAGCACTAATGAGAAAAATGATATTGAACTGGAAGAGCTGCTAAATATGCAGTAGCCACAGGGTTCCTGGAGTTTACTGGAACTAAAATGAAAACTGTAATACCATAAGTAACAGAGGGTAAACTAGGCAGAAATGCTAAAGGAAGAGACTCTCAGCAGGCAAAACTTGTTTCTGCTACCATGCTTGCCAGGACATAAAGGGTTTTTCTAATCAAACTCTTTTTATCCCTGATGTCCTGTTAAAGAGGAGCAAGAAACTTGAGATTAAAGGAGCACATACCATTTCACGATATAAATGAATACCACAACTAACTGGAGAAAGCAATGTGTAAAAGGCTGAATGGAAAACCTTGTTAGGTGCAAGAAGTAACGTACATGTTAACAAAGATCATCCTAACTATCTCTTCAGGGCTCCTGTTTTTTTACTGTTTACCATTGTCGATTTTCATTGGTCTCGTATTTATTGCACCTACAGCTTATGAACCCCATGTGGAACATGTAAAGTTGCTTGACATTGGATTCTTTGGCCATCTCTGATAGTATTCTTGGCATCTTCACTACATTCTGCACTAACGGTCTAGAAACTTACTATGCCTTGCAGGAGACATGAGCCCAGTTAATTTTGCCAGCCAGCAAAGTCTGTTCACGAGAATGCTGGATATCCACTTGTTCAGGAGAAAAAAAAAAATCATAAATATTTATGATTTTTAATCATAATATATAGTCAATATATAGTCATTCAAAAAGAAATGCATTAAGAAAGAACTGCCCTGTTACCATCATGGGAACTCTAAACAGTTTTTATCTCTTCAGCATGCCAAAAAGAAAGAAAAATTTTACCAATGCCAAGAAGTCTACTCCACACAAAATTTTCCTCCCTCCTGTAGTTAAAACTAGGGAATTGGAGAAATCACAAGAGTTACTTCCCCTTTCCCCAATGTTATTCACATATAAGGATGCCAAAAATAAAACAGGATGTTCTTCTGAATTCATTGCTATGTCTGCTATGTTAAGCAGAAATTACCTCTTACTTCAAAAAACAGAGAAATTGTTTCTGGATGTACTTGAAGAGCTGACTGCAAAGTAAGATTTTTTTTTTTCTAAGTTTAAAATTATGATATTTGACTGAACTAACATATCACTGTTTGCCCAGAACTGTGATGTTTTAGAAAACAGTACTGAAAAGAAGTTATCATCCCCAGAAACTGTTTCTCCCTGATATATTGTATTTAAACCTATTTAATTCTGTCTTTAAAATAAGCACACAAAGGAGTAAATCTAACCTCCATTCAGTACAAGGGTAATCCAATAAGGTTAAACCCAGGAAATAATTTAATAAAACTCTACAAGAAAAATGACTTAACCATTGAGAACAATACAGCACTAATGTGTTTCATAACCAATGTCTTACCGACTGTGAGAGGGTCAGTGCACATGTCACTTCTGTTCTCCTTCCATGCCAGCAGGTACTTGAGGCTGACGGGATCTTCTGCTTCTATATAGCTGTTAAACGCCACCATCAGTTTATGAGTCTTCGCAATGCCACAGTAAGTCTTTGTTTCCCCCTCTAAGGGCAAATTATTTAAAATGCTTGCTGCCTCAAAAGCTTTAGTGAAATATTCAAAAGCTTTATTGTAGTTCCCCTAGCAAAGAAGAGGGAAGAAAAAAAAAAAAGGAAAGAAATAAAAGAATTGTAAAAACTGCTTGCAGTCACTTGTATTTACCTTGATGTTAAAACCTGCTCTCCTCACACCTGAGATGTCGCAGCTGAGAGGCCAGCCCACAGAATGACTCATGGCATGGTATTAACCAAATCACTCTCCCTTGGTGTTTCCTAACCTCTAAAATGCAGAAAGCAATACTCATATCTTTTTCAGGAACTAAATTGTTTTTAGCTGTCTGTGTAGTATTTTGATCACGCAAATCACTTTATCAATGCTAAGTATTAACACTGATTTCAGTCAGACCTTTTATCAATTTTCACTGTTGTTTCATGAACAACCCTGTGGGAGGAAAGGTCCTAATTTACTACTGTGATACTAAATTTTAGAAAAGAAATCTTAAAAATGAAGAAATAAAACCAAAAAGATGATAATGAAATGAAGCACTGAGAAGAACAGAAATCAAAACTTACAGATTTATGAGAATGGTAGTATGCCAAAAGATAGGGATATTCCTGATCAAACAAAAAGAGAAACAATAGGAGAAATTTGTCAACCATTCCTAAATAGAAAACCCAAAGAGTTTATCTCTTTATCTGCAGCCTACAGAAATCTAGCATTCATGTGTCCAGTAATGGTTGAAAGCATTTTGAGTTGGTATCACATGAGGTAGCATGCAGAAACTTTCTGCTCTAGTATTAGTATTGTCTAAGGTTTAAGTATTATACAGAAGGGATCAGATGACAATTTTGGCAATATACTCTAACAAGCTAAAAATAAAGGCTTTTGCAATGCTTTGACGAATTTCAAAGGGACCTAATAACACTACCTGTGTGATTATGTGATAGCAAATGAAATTAATTCTTTAGAAAAAGATAGGTAACTTGTGCTGTCTGAGCTATTAATAACTTTTACTGGATTCTCACTAACTCAGGCTCAAGAAGAAGGCCTTCAAATAACATGGGCAGCTCTGCAGTGGCTGCCCCTAAATGCAAAAGAGATCTAAAATTTAGTAAGGTCAAACAAAATATTAGCACTCATCAAAAATACAGTGGAGAAAACTAGGATAAACTCTTTATATAAATAAACAGCATATTAATAAAACTGGACAAAGTAAATACAGGCCAAACAACAAATATAAAAGAGGAATAGATGTAAAATTGCTACCAGATGTAACAGAGGAATAGGAATGAATTGAATGTGACTGAAAAGCGGGAAAATTAAAAATAATTCCAGATAGCTCTCTCCCCTTAATAGATTATTTGTGGAGAAAATCCTGATCACAAGCTTCCAAAGTGGAAAGTTAAATGCTCTTGTGGCCAAACAAACAAACAAACAACAACAACAAAAAAAAAACAGTCAACAAACAAGACAAGGGGAAAATAACATCTTGGGAGCATGGCATTATGTAACTGTTCATCCTTTACCTTATTCTGAAGGAATCAGTTCTGGCTATTGTCAGAGCTAGAAAAATTTCTATGGCTATTCAGACTAATTATAGCTGGCCCTCTCCATGGAAGATGCCTCCTAGCTCTCCAGTTTATGAGGAATTCTGCTGCCCTGATGGTGCAAACTCCTGAATGAAAAGTGTTTTCAGAGCTGTCTTATCCTTTAATTCTCAGCTTGATCAGCTTGATTTAGAAAAATTAAAACTCCCTTCTGCACAGAGTAAAGAGGACAGGAACACAGACTCCACTTTGATACCTGTTGCTCTTGATACCACTATTGGGGATCAAAATTTGTATGACTGCTAAAGGGTGTCTGAATTTAAAAAAAAAAAAAAAAAAAAAAGGAAAAGGATAAGGATAAGAGAAATTCAGATTCTGTTTTAATACATCAGGAGAGCAAGATCAGGCATATGAGGACTCAGCAATGAATAAAGAACAATAAGCAGTAGGGTAATAATCAGAAAGGAGAAACATCTACCTACTGTACTCATGAAAACTATAATAGGTTCAGTGATACAATTAGTGAGAGGAATGCAGCAAATCAGACTAGGAAACTCAAGAAAAGTGAAATGCGAAATGACAATGTCATACTATCTCCATCAGAGTTTATGCATATTAAGTAAGGAACCTGTTTAAACGGGGAGAAATCAGAGATACTAATGTATAATATAAAAACAGGCATTTAAAAAATGAAACATACTGGTAAACAATCACGACTAAAAAGCAGGAACTTAGTGTACAGCATTAAGGAAAGACAATGATGGTGACGGAATGGTGAGATGACAGAACTATAAAAAAAATAGCAACAGCATGGACAGAGCAAGGTGAATTTGGTCAAAGCCACTTTGGGGAGGATAGTAAGTTATATCCCTGGTTTACTAAAGGTCCCCAAGGATAGATCTGGATATAAATAGAGATATCTGTAATTTGATGATACAAATTGTATCACCAGGTGAAGTAACAGAGTGGAATAAAAATACCCTAATAATAGCTTAACTTAGATAATACTGGCTATGACAGCTGACACCAACCAGGCAGTGATCCACGAGAAAAAATGTTAATTAAGACTCAGTATTAGTAAACATTGCTGACCTTGCAGAAAAAAAGTAGTATAGAAAATTGAGAACTGTAAAACTTTTTGTGAAATCTTTTTGTCTATTTAAATTCTATATTTTACATAGGTTCCTAAGTCTAAGTCACTATATATTTTTTCCCTTCTATTCCCCTAACCCAGTTCAAGGCAGCAAATTCTTAACTGAGAAAAACAATTTAGGGAACAACCCCAAAGAGGTTAATTATTAAAAATCAATTCTCATATAAATGATTATTAGCAATGGTGTCAACAAGCAGTGAAATATAAAAGTAGTTAAACAGAATTTTGTTATTTGTTTTTCAAATTTGGGGTAGAATATTTAAGTACAGTGTCACACCACCCTCTACTTCAAAGAAAGTTTCAGGTCAATTTAAAGTTATTTTAGCAAGTTCTCAGAATTTCAAACTTAGTTTTCAATGGAGATTCTGCATTTATGCTAAGAACTTAAGCAAACAGAAATCTCCAGCCTAACTTGGAGAATACGGAGTAAGACTTTTTTCAACTGCTTGTGCAAAGGGTCAGTAACTTCAGTAACTTCAGTCAGTGAGAGTTCTGCGTGAGAACAATCCTGAAAATAAAAAGACATTTGCGGGTAGTGTAAAAGCAAAGGGGCAAGTAGCCTGACATATTACACATAGAAAAGAAAACCTGTTAAAAATTGGGCAAAAGTTAGTACTTAAAAGCTAGAAAATGTGAGATTTACAGTTGCTGCCTGTTTGCCTTCATACATACACACTGAAAACAGCACTTTGCCAGTAACATGAAAGGTCCAGTTCTCAAATGTCCAGCATGATTTAGAAAGGGTATTTCTTTTTTTTTTTTCTTCATAGTGAAAGCGTTTCCTAATTTCAACATTGTCCAGCCTGTAGAGCAACTCCTATCTATTACCAATTTTATCTAAATAATTTCATGTAGCAATTCAACTCTAAATCTTTCACTTCTGCACCTGTATTTTTAACTCTTTTGACTACAAAAGCCAAGTGCAAGTTCTGTGTCTTTGGAGGCTGAGTGAACGGGGAGGCCACTACCCAGGCAGGCTGCCAACAGAACTGCTGCTTCTGCAGGGCCCACCCAAGAAAGACAGTTCAGAGACTGGCATGTGGCTCAGAAAGAAGCACCTCAAAAAACCTTAGGAACCACAATAAAGGGAATTTTTTAGTTGTCCCTACCCTACCTTAGCATTATCTGAATTAAATAAGCCAAATCAAAGCTGTCAAGCTAGATGGAGGTAAAAAGAACAGAAATCCCTTTTACTACTGACACAGATCTTTGCCAAAATATTTGCTTCTGGCACCTATTTCATAAATTTGGCTGAGAGAACGTAAAGAGGCAACCAAGCTAAGATTAAAAACTCCATATTCATTTGCAGTAATAGTATAAATTCATTTTTTAAAAAGGATCATTTTCAATGTATCATATACACTGAAATAATTGATCCACGATTTTCACAACACTGAACGTTTCTTATGATCTGAACTTGGAATTTTCATTCACCCATTCTAGAATGATATCCCATGTATTAAATATGTTGTGAAATTTTCACCCTACCCAAAAACTTAAGGCGCGTTTTTAGTCACACATTATTTTCTCCTTTGGTAACTCTTGTAAGATACAATATCTCGATCAAACTCTGCTGGTCACCTCATATGCAAATGCAGATTTTTATGAGTTAAACTCAATTGTTTGACATCGTTACTACAGCCGGTACTTACTCTTTCATTGTAAATGTTCCCAAGCAATACACATGCATCCACCAGGCTTTGGCTTAGATGCACATCCTCAGCAACCTTCATAAACTCTTCCAAGGACGTAAGAGTTTCAGCCACTTTTCCTTGACTAAAGCAGAGGACAAGGAACAAAATTATTTATTCACTCAGATGGCTTCTCCAAAGACTGCAGATCTATCCCCCTGTTCCAAATTAACTCTGCTTTGTGATGGCTCATCTGCTTTATGGTGAAATACGGATTGTAGTCTCAATATGGGTGTCTAGACCCTACCTGTACTGAAACCAATTACTGAAACCTGTACTGATTCCACATGGAATATCTGAGGGCAGAAACTCCTTTGAGAGAAACAGAAGTTTTCTTCAGAAAATTGTGCCATTTTTAAGGGCAAGAATGAAAATGTAGGTGATGATTTTACAGGGTTTTTGGAGTTTCCATTATTTTAATACTTTCTTCTACTGAACAGCTGATGACATTTTCAGTACAACTGGACCTCACATCCTGAAACTGGACCTCACATCCTGAGAACGGTAGGAAGTAGGAGTGCTAGCCTGCCATTAAGACTTTTTGTGCTCCTATCATTTAGAGGTGCCATTTCTTGCTCTAGAACCCTGGTGGTACAGCAGCAGCACCATACAGTGCTGTCTCTTAATTCTGGGCTGACAGCCTTCTCTCAGGTGTAATGCTGCACTTTGGCTGGGTGGATCAAAGGTTGCTGGAGTCACACAGGGCAACCTATAAACTGTGGATTGCAGGTGTCACCTCCAAATCCCAGAGAGATCAGAGCAACCCAAGGTCACAGCTGAATCCAAGTTGAAAATTGGCTAATGTACTTTGACAATAACATTTGCAGATTTCCCTTTTTTTTTTAATAAAGCCGCGCACACTAACAATATAAGATCTCTGCCGTATGGTTACAAGATATAAGATAGACATCTGGGTTTGCCTTGTAAGTAAGGTACTACGCTCTTTTTCCCTTTAAGGCTGAAGTGTTACTGCAGCTGACCTCAATATTAGCCATGAACTTGAGTCACTAATGGAGGAGTGCAGCATGCTAAATGTCAAGCCACCAAGCCAGACAGAAAATACAGTCTCTTAATTAAGAAACTCACAGAAACAAAAGTTTCTGTAAGTGATAAAGAACTGTGATTTATTTTCTATTTTAAAACACCTTCAGGTTATATTCCTGCAGCAAATGACTGTCTGGGTTTTATTTATATTTTGAATTTTATTATTAACTACGTTAATGATATGTGTTTTCAAAATCTGGCAGAAGTCTGCAATTCCCTGTCTTATGAAACAGAGTAATTATAATAATATGACAGAGCCTTCCATTGCACAGGAAACACAGTAAAGCATCACTGCAAATTTACAATATTGCAGTGATTATGTGACTGAAGTGAGCTAGACTGCTACAAAAGGATGCTAAAACACTGGAAACTAACATGTTTGAAGTATTCATGAATATGCTACTATAAAGCTTAGTTGTCAACCAGCAGAGCTGGATTTAATAAAATTTCCTAACTTATGTATTTAATATGAAAATATTAAACATACTTTACTGTAAACATTTACCAAATGTCAAAAAAAAAAATCTAAATTTTAAAATTAGAAACATATTTTTTTCAAATCTTTTTTTTTTTTTTTTTTTTTTTCCCTAAGAAGAGAAAATCAAATGTTTCCCCACAGAAATCCAGCATATGATTTATATAAGTTAAAGGACAAGGTTAAAGTGTTAGACAAATATTAATTCCAGTTTTTCTAGTTTTCTATATGCAGTGCACAGGTGCAACTTGAAGAGCATATTATATGGTATAATCATTAAATCCATTCAACCAGACCTTTGAGAGTTAAAAACATATATTCTGAGGAAAAGGACTCCTCGGTCCAAGGAATGAGAATGAAACAGTGCAGAATATTTGTGTATCAAGGTGATTCCAGTTTCCAATTGGGAAAACAGGACTGTTAACACCCACATCCCCTGACAACTGTCCAATTATGTATATCACACTTGGCCTACTGTTTGCAGTAGAAGTAATCAATAAAGGATGTGGTTGAGTGAACATAGATTTTGGTTGAACCAATGCATGAAAACTTAATCATTTACTCAGAGTGCAGAAATCAAATAGAGCAGGGATGAAACAGCCACTGAGGGGTTTGTTGATTGTGCCACCAAGTTTGTGGGCTAGAGGCTGAAAGTAATAAAGCAAATGGAATCAGTGACAGGAGAAAATGTAAAAAGGTTTTCTTAATTTCATGAATTAATAGAAATGTTTTCATGTATTTTTGGTCACTTTTTATATTTCACATAAAAGCTTATGTTCCATGTGTAGAAAATATAAAAATTGCTAGGGCATATAATGTCTTTCAGGCAAACAGAAATCAATTTGACACGTATCGGAAAGATGTTTCTCAAAGCTAGAACTTTGCTTACACCAACTAGCAGTCACTTGGTACACTTCAACAAGCTTTTGAAGGAAGTATTTTTAAAAGAAGTACTGCTTGAGATATTTAAAGTATGCTAGAAGAATTACTGAAACACTTTATCCTGCACAAGACCTGATAACATGATAAACAGGTCTTTCCTACTCAAATAACTAATATTTTATAGTTCCTTCCAAAATCTACATGTTATTTTATACAGCCATATACTTTCTATCTCCTTAGACATCACCTTTCTAAATGCATAAAATGCAATTTCCTATAGATATAGCCATTCATGATCCCACAGAACAGTTATGATGACTTCAGCAGAAGAGATTACATATCTACAGCAACTCATTTTCCAGTTTCATGCTAAAATGCCCTATGAGATTTTTACCCCTATTAGACTTTTATGAAAATATGCACCTTTTATAGGATTGCTCATGTGATTGAATTGGATGTATAAATCATTTGTCCACAAGAAGTCATTACCATGGTGGACACTGGCAGAATAAGTCAAGAACATGATGCTATTATGTCAGATTTTTCCCTGGAAAATGACATGCCTAAATGCACATGATAAAGATTTTCAGTTTGCCATGGTCTGTGGAAACATCTGCAGCAAAGATTTCAAAAAAAAATCCAAAGACATAGACAATTTCTGAGCCATCAGGGAGGGCTCAGCCACTTTTCTCCAACATGTTCCAGTCATCTCTTCTTAGATCAGGTAAAAAAAAAAAAAAAAAAGTAAAAAGTGATCTAGCTGAGTCTGGAGACTGTGTCACCAACAGTAATTATTCATGCATTCATCCAATATTTTCTAAACTTTCCAGAAATTGACTCATTTGCTATATATCAGACAAGTAAATATCCAAAAGTTTAGTAAGGTAAACAGAAACTTGTATATTTAACTAATAATCTAAAAGCCTCTCTTTTCTTTAGCTTTTTTTTTTTTTTCATTATATTAAACTGTTTTTTTACACCCTCTCTTCCTCCAAGCAGTAAGGAAGAACAAACGAACTAAACCAGCACAATCTTGTTTATGAAAAATTCTGCTGTTGAGTTTCGAAAAGTAAGTTTGTTTGGAAAAAACATCATATTAGTTTACAGAAAGTTTTCTATTAGGGAGCATTACACAGCAAAAAGGAATTAATCTAGAAGGACTGCTTAAGAGAAAAATAATGGAGTCACAGAATATTTAAGGTTGGAAGGGACCTCTGGATATCATCAAGTCCATCTGCTTGGCTCAGAGCAGAGTCAAACAGAGGAGGACTCATGAATACTTCTGAGAGCTCTGACACCTGACTTTTACTGTTTCATTGTACCATGGGAGCCAAGTATGTAAAGTCACACATTGCAACTTAGTGTCCCACCAACTACTTCTTTCTCAGTTAAGCTTAAGTCAGTTCTGAAAATTGGACATGGTCTTCTAAGTCTGTTTTGCAGCTTTTTCAACATCTTATCCTGTGTGCTTATTTAGGAAGCTCAGAATATGAACAGCCATGAACTGCGTATCATAGAGATGAAATGAGATGATTGTGGCTGATCCCTATATGCACTGAAAGGTCAACGCTCCACACAATGAATTAAATCTGGTGCCAAGTCCTCCTCAATAAACAATTTGCTGCTTTCTATCATGTGTCACACGCACTGAAGCCCACAAACATGTGATTAGTGAAGGATAAACTGCAACTTTCCCTTTAATATCTTTTTTTTTTCTGATGTCATGATAATTGCATTATACTGCTTTATGTCAAAATTATTTGTGTAAGAACTTAGAGTAGTTACAAAATAATTCACCTGGAAGAAGTTTGTAATACCAAATGCTGAAATGAAAACAAAGACAAGCATCTTTTATGGCACTAAGGAACATGGTTTAGTCATGGGACTCAGGAGGTCAGTCTGATGGTTGAACTTGGTGATATTGAAGGTCTTTTCCAACGTATATGATTCCACAGTTCTATGATTCTGTCTTATTTGCAACAAATATATGTCTAGTTAAACATGCACTAAACAGAAATGCCTCCACAGAAAAAGTGAGGTAGAACAGTAAATGGAAATTTACAGAAGTCTGGAAAGATTACAGTGGGGCACCTACTTAAACATGCTATGTTCTTAAAGTTTTTCTTTTTTTAACCTGGAAAGTATGTCTAGATTTCTATTTTTCAGCAAGATCTATCCCAAACTTGTGAGAAAAAAATGAAAAAAGCTCTCAAAATACGGAAATAATAATAAAAAGTGCATATTACAGTTTATAGGTAAAGAAAAGCTTTGGATCATACACTTAAAAAAAATTGTACCAGCTTAAAATAACTTTCAATGAAAGGGTCACTTACTGCAAGAAGGGCACTGCTTAAAATTTAAGCAGTCAGTAATGGGAAGCGACAGACCTCTAACAATTTAAGTCTTTCACAGTTGAATGAATCTGCACTGACAGCCAGACAAGGATATGCTAACCTACCTTACGAGGATCTTGGCTATCATTTCATATGCTCTTCCTAGGCCAGAAGAATCACACAGTGCTGTGAAGATTTTTACAGAGGTGTTCAAAATCTGTGAAGCAGGAAAATAAAACTCAATAAATACAATGCTAAGCATTTCCACATTTTTTTTCCCAATCTCTGTGTCCACATGAAAAACAAAATTAAAGTTTTTGCACCTACACTTTCTTTTTTAATTAATTGTAATAAGACTATATTTTTGATCATTACTCATAGTTGTTTGAAACTATGTAATAATTACGAATTAAAAAGATAAAAATTGCATTTAAATCCCTACATTTTGGTGCTTTGCAAAAACCAGAGATATTTCCTAATTCATGATATAAATTTCCTTATCCATAATTTAAAAGATTTCAAGAGGCTGTTTTTATGAATTTCTATGAATCAATACCTTAAGACTATGTTATTTGCATTCAGAGTTGTAGCAAAATACACTGAAATACAATTTAATATTATTTTTCTTTCTTTAAAGTGTCACTATGAGAACTTTTTTTTAGTACAATTCAGATGCATAAGAATTGAATAAATTATAGGTTACACATTTAAACCAGATTGACTTAAAATATTGTAGATAATTTTGTTGTATTTCTGACTAATTATTCGTGCACACTAGCGATCTGTTAGTATTTGTTGTGAATATATTCTCTTATCATGTTCTCTCCCATAACTGAAGGCTTACAGCTGCTGCATAAAAACATATGATCTTAATTTAATTTAACACTGACGTCACCTGTATTGCATAATTTCTCTTTTCATCCTTTCTTTTTCCAATGGTGATGAAGGGAGAATACATATAAAATTAAATCGTATTCTTTCCTTCTTCCCTTTTTGTTGCTTGACCAACCTATTACACACATGAGAACACAGGAAATCTCCAAAGACTATCTATGGAAATCCTTTTTGCACATTTCCAAGAAAGGAGTAGTGAATGTCATTTACCAGCTTTGAAGGGGGATGGGAGATGCACAGGGACATATGACAGTATCCTGCATGCCCCAAGATGCCTATTTATGCTGAGGTAAAAGATAGGGCACTTTCTATTAAGACTGCATTCGCTGTCAGTGGCAAAGTGCACGACTCAAAAGAAGACATCTTGCATGTGCTAACCCTATGGATGTCACCATTTCTACTATTGTTTCCATTACTCAGATATCCTAGCTCTTGAAGGTCTTAGGTGTATTGCCAGACAAGGCACTTATATTTAGTTAATTAAGCCCTGTGTTTACAAAAAGCATGGCTTATTAATATACAACAGACAATTTATCTTCCCTCAAGTACTTTCTTATCAGTGTTGTGTTCGATGTACATCAGCATTGCATCCTGTACTTGAAGGTCATTGTCAATTGAGTTATCGATGAATGATATGACAAAGAGAGTGAAGGCACTACTATTAGGAACTTGTCAGATCAGTTCAGATCTGGCCCTAAACTGAATACATACACACAGTTGTGAAGGCCTGCAGTCTGTCCTTCTGATAATACAGGCCGATAAAAGTAATGTGCCAATGTGCCATAGCCAGGACAGCTGAAATAACAAGTTGGTTTACTATGTCTCTGCAACAGCTGCTAAAAATAAGTAAATAAATAAATAAGCAAACTCACTCATTCATATTAATTAATAACACCCATTTTGGTCCCAGCCTACTACTACTACACAAATTTGACATTTCATTATTAACAACGATGAAATAAAAATAATTAAATCATCTATATGAAAGGGAGGAAATCTGCACAGATTACAATGGAAAATGTACTCTTTATGTCTTCATTGCAAATAACTCCTCCAGCTTCAGGGAGTAGGTAGGGACACAGAAAAGGACACATTCTTGGTGGAAGGGAGCTGTGTAGCGCTAGTGCCCTTTAGGCTATACTTGCTCAGTATTCATTTATAGGGAGGATGTGAAAAGGGGCCTCATCGCCTATGGTGCATGCCTCACCTTCAGCACCCAGGATAGAAAAAGAAGTAGAGCAGGATAAAACAGTGGATTAACATGTTAGCATTAGAGGACTTAACCCAAAGCCTCTTGTACTTACAGTACAATTTTGATTTAATTAAAACCAAAAAATTATAGAATTTGCATGCTGGCAAATCAAGTGGAATTGATGCAATGATCTGTGCCAGAATCTGTGAACAGCCTGAAAACACCAAATGGACACAAAAACATCCCACTTTATTTTCATGGGATATTAACAACCAGTCCATCTATCTGGGTTCCTATGAATACCATATAAGAAAAGACATGCTTGTGGCAAGAGAGTTCAGAGTGGGCATGGCTGGGCCATTCATCTCTCAGTTCTCTGACAAGTGGATAAATACTGGGAACACTGACCGTTTCGATCTATTGGAATTTATATGCTCCCATGAAAAGTTGTTTGGGATTTAGACGTAAGTATAGCTCCGAAACAGGTCCTGAAAAATATGAATATTCTTGCCAATCTGTGCAGAGGACAGTGACATCCAAAGGAGAGGTGGAACATGTCAATAATTAATGCTGAAAACTCCTACACAAATGTGCAGAGTGAATATGCAGTTTTACTGCATTTGTGGTCTCAGGGAATACAGCTGTCATTACGAAAAAAGGATGGAAAAACTGATTCAGAATAAGAATCCACTTGTTAAAGGAACATGCTTCTGCTCCAGTGTTACATAGTAAATATTGTGCATTAAAATGTCATCGTGGTAATTTTCCTCCTGGTAAGAAAATGCAAATAAAAATATAGAATATTGTGTAAAGAAATACTGAATGGGACTACATAAGAATTGGTACTATTAACATACATTTAAAGAGTGGGTTTGGGTATTACACAAATCTGGCTGAAAGTCAGACAGTTCACAGAGATTTAAAGTTACTGAAGGGAAGATTTATTTATTTATAATCTAACAAGAGTTTTGAGGAAAGAAGCTGTTGCAATAGTTTTATCCTGATGATGCTAGGCTCGCCCTGTTATAAAATTGCCATACTGTTTCAAAGAGAGCTTGATGCTCCTACAAACTAGTGGGAAAAGATCACAGTACATATGCAGTTGAACAGATAATAATTATGTATGTTTTGACTTCAGAAAAAAAAAGGTAAGTAACAAAATAAAAATGATAAAAGCTGCACTGATTATGGTCACAAATTATGTTTTTGGCTCTATGTGGCCAAGTGCAAGAACTGTCTCAAATTTCCTACTTTTGTATGTCCACAATGGAAACATGGGTTAAAAAAAATAAAGTGAAAATCAAACTCAAATTTCAAAAATGAACACTGGGTTTCAAGCACCTGTTCAATTTCATGCAGGATTTGGGAAAGTGGCAGAATGAAGACTTCAACTTTGCCTTGCACGTTACAGATAACTGTTCTAAATGCCATCCACTATTATTTTGGCATATACAGGTAAAGGAGGGGAGAGGGAGGAATCATTTTTATCACTTCAAAAAAAGGAAATTGAAAAATAAAAAATAATTCTTGTTTTGCTTAGCACAAAAAGCTGGATATGGGTGCATCTGCAAGGAGGATAGCTACTATAGAAGCAGCTATTTGTTTACAAAAACAACCCTCTTCCTTTCCAAGTCTGTTGTGGCTACACTTTGCTACAGCATAGAAATAAAGCAAAGTAACAAGCTCTGCTTAAATCCTCAAACTAGAACCTGTTTGTGGCACAGCTCTTGCACTAATTCTCTGGGAAGTGGTGAATTTCACATTTGCCTCCTCTGCCAAGAAAAGTATCAGTCAGATCTCAAATCTAAATTTCCTTCTCAGTTACCTCAGCATTATGCCAGTGTGACCCTCCTGGGGTTATGCCATTAGCATAAGACAGAATCACAGAATCATCTAGGTTGGAAGAGACCTCCAAGATCACCGAATCCAACCTCTGACCTAAACCATATCACTAAACCATATCACTAAGCTCTACATCTAAACATCTTTTAAAGACATTCAGGGACATACATCAACCTCTCCCCAAAATCTCACCTTTTATTTTTCATTGTTGTCACACCTATAGCCCTTTTATATATATGTATACAAGCACACACCTCATTGGCATATACTGAGGACTCAAAAAATGGGATGTAGGCTTTGCTAAATCTTGATATGTACATCTGGGCATAATGGATGAAAGAGCAAAAATCGAAGGTATGAATTTATGTTGAATAAAGAATGTCTATCCAAGTCAACACAAGATTAATGTTCCTGCCAGTATTTTATCATTTTGGTAAAATACATTACTCTGACAAAAATGTGATGGGATGATATTGATTTATAATACTGTAACTTTAAAAACCGCAAAAACATAGTTCTGCTCTCAGCTTTGCACTTGATATTGTTGTCAAACTTTATTGGAAATACATTTATTTTGATTTCTGAAAATCTCTGTTTAGCCATTTCACAGCTGGTGAGCAGTAAAGATGCTTCTGCCTCATTTACAGATCTTGAACATGAATCAGACAATCAACCGCACCATTAGTCAAAGAGATCACTAGCTAATGATTTCTGACAGGCACTGCAGTAACAGGCCGGGGCCCAGCCTGGGTAGCAGCACCTGACAGTAATATTTCTGGAGCCAGCAAGAGGTGTTGGTAGACAGACAATGCAATCGAGTGAGACTCCTGGCCTCATACCACTTAGTACCTCTTACGTACTTTCAGAAAAAAACACATTGCCCTACCTGTCACTAAATAATCTTTTCCGTACAGTCCAGTGAAAATAAAAGACAATAGAGCTGTATGCTTGGCATTTTGCAGTTTCGCAAACTCCTTCCCTTAGCTCCCCCTAAATGCATATTTAAAAATACAGTGAGGATTTTTAAACAGCTCGTGCTGCAATTCTGACACTTCATCCACTCTAGATCAACAGAAAAATCAATCACAGGTTCTGTCACAGAGTTGCCCTCTGTATCTTTTGTATTATCCTGAGTTCACTACACAGTGAATCTGCCAAGCTTTTGGAGGCTGAAGTACCTGCACAACAGAGAGAGGGCATGTACATTCATTCGGCTGCAGCTTCTTTTACGAACCCCACTTATAAGGAGGTTTCATAAGACGCAAAAGTATTCTGCAGGAAAACTACTT